ACAAGAAAGGAAGAATAAAAGAAGGTGATAAACATATATCCCAAGTTATTAAAACATGGCATTTGTGTTTGGGATTTCTTTTCTTTTAGCAACTACAATAGCATCAGTTAACTATTCGAATTTTTCTACAAAGCTAGGAAATGATGGGGGACCAGCCAAAGCAAAGAAGGAACACAGAACAACTGGTTAAGGGAAGAAAAACGTGCTGGCTAGTTCTTCAGCTCAAGGCAAGGAGCTCCTTTTAGCCCTTGTTCTGGCATGAAAAGAAACAAAAGTATTCATCTTAGAATAGCTTTTGCTGGTTCCAGCAATGACTATTTTAAAAGAGAAGAATTATGGAAAATAAACCCATTTCTTGATACTTTAAATGAAGAGATTTAGAAAGTAAACAGCAACTCAGATTTAGAAAGTCAACAGCAACTCTTATAGATCTTTCTTAGACTAGATGTTATGCATTCACAAAGATGCTTTAACTTTGCTTATAACTCTTTGCTGCTGTTTCAGAAATCTTTACATTTGTGTTGCCACAAATCATTATCATGTTGTATAACAAAAGTTATTAGAAACTCAATTTGGCATGATCAACTTTGTAACTCACTAGAGTCTCCCCTTAAGATCAGCAGTTACCAAAAATAATAAAATAGGCTGAAGAGTCTAAAAAGAAAAAGTTCTACCTTTTCCTTTGAAACTCTAACCTACAATTCTTTTTTTTTGGCGAGGAAGATTGGCCACGAGCTAACATCTATTGCCAATCTTCCTCTTTTTGCTTGAGGAAGATTGTCGCTGAGCTAACATCTGGGCCAATCTTCCTCCATTTTGTATGTGGGATGCCGCCACAGCACGGCTTGATGAGCAGTGCGCAGGTCCACACCTGGGATCTGAAACCACAAACCCTGGGCCGCTGAAATAGAGCGCGCGAACTCAACCACTATACCACCGGGCTGGCCCAAACCTACAATTCTTGAAGACATGGAAACACTTGAATTCAGCCTCCAAATAAAAAATGCTACAGGTCTAACAAATCATGTGATCAAAGTTTTTTTCAACACAGTTGAATCTTTTTAAATTAAAGAAAGAATTTTTCAATTGGAGTTTTTCAGAAAGTTGCCAATATCTATTTTTTTAAAAATCTTCCTTTTGATGAGTAAGCAACACTTGAGAAGGCTGAACTTGAAATACATGGTTTTACATAGAAAAATATATATATGTAAATTTTGATAACATTTAGTTATTCAGGGTAGCTATCAAATTTTATTAAAATCTCATCAAGAGGAAAATCTCAAAACACTTATTATGCTCCACAATTATTGTAAACTGAACAATTTAAATGAGAGGAGGAGATAATGACATTAACTTCTTAACTCAAAGCAATCCTCTGTGGCATGATTTTAAAATATTCTCTTGGTCTGAAATTTATGTAAATTAAATTCATCTATCATTGGTTATTACCAGCCTAGCTACATTAAAGGAAAAAAAGTTTTCTGTAACAATTACTTCTTAAAAACACTGTTTTAATTAGACCTGGGACATTATTAAACTAGCTATAAATATGTACAGTATTTCGGTTGGTATACCCAGCTGTCTGAAAATCAACAAGAATGCACTCATAGTTATTTCTTCAAAAATTCTTCAAATAAATGCCTTTCATTCAAAGTTTTAATGTAATCTGAAGTGAACACCCTTTGCAGATTCCATTACGTAAACACAAGAGAAATAGTCACTCATAACCAAAGAATAATCATTGAATCAGTGTATTTTAGAACCCACAGGGCTTAGTCACAGATAACAAATTTCTTCATTTTATGGATGTCCATGATTATGCAAAAAAAATTCATGGCAGAGCTGGACAAAACCAGATCAGTTATTTCTACCACAGCATACAAACATTTTACATAGATTATCCCATTTAATCCTCACCACAACTGTATAGTTTAGGTACTATCATTACCCTATTTTACATATAGGGAAGGTGATGTGGTTAGGCTAGTATTCAGTCAAGTAAGGATTTAAACCCAGACAGTCGGACTCCAGAAACCATACTACACCCATAATCCTAAATATTAAGGATAGATGGTTTCCATTAATAAAGAAAATTAAAAAAAAAAATTCCAACAAGTACCACCTTTTAAGAATAACAAACTAAAATGTGAAGGTTATAATTTGGAATTTCCCTCCTCTAAAATAAGTATTTTTCCCAAACCCAACTCATGCATCAACTTCTCCCTGAAGCCTTCTCCTATCATTCAACTGAGATTAATTTCTTTCTTCAAACTCTTGACAATTGCTGTACACTGCTTATATGCAGAAAGTGCTAGCTGCCTTTTCATATCCATTCTTGTCTTCCTTAGTAACAGAAATCCAATTTTTAGCTCTTAGCAAACTGCCATATGTTCCAACCTTTCCAGTGGCTAGGTACGATCATATGGCTAAGTTCTACAATAAGATATTACTGTAAGTATGGTGTTGGAATTCCAAGAATGCTGTTTAAAGAAAGCAGACTTAGCTTTTAGGGGAGCTCTTTTGTGGTTTCCCAAGGTAAAGACCTTGCTATCCAGGTATCTTTTTGGCTGGTGCTCCAGCAGCTATCTTGGACCATGAGGCAACCTTGAGGAAAGAAGCTGCATGCTCTGAAGGGTGGAGGAAAAAGACAGGCGTCTCGGTCCACAATGAGATCAGGAAGCCATCATACCCTATTTGGACAGCCTCCCTCCAGATTTTATATGATAGAGAAATAAACGTTTATCTTGTATAAGCCACTATTATTTGTTGTTGTTGTTGTTGTTATTGTTAAATAAGCTGAATCTAATTCTAACTGATTTAGTTCAGACTCATACATAGTTCATAATCTAAGGTTTGTTGTAACTATGGTGGGGAGGGAAGAAAAGAATAGAATTACTTCTCTTAAAACACTGGAGCAAAACATTTCCAAACATAATTTTCATTCTCAAAGCCTTTCTGGTAATTTTCAACTTTGGAAAAGAAAAAGAAGGGAAAGTAAGGGAAAGGAAAAGTAGAAAAAGATACTTCTGCCTCTCTGCCATTGCTCACGCCATTTCCTCTCTTCTCTTCCCTACTAGCTAAGCCCTACCATACTTCAAGGCCCAGCTCTGCGAAACTGTTTCTGTCCGACCTTTGAATTCAGAGTGTATATTGCCCGTGCCATTTGACAATCATATATCATCTAGTAACATCTTCTGTTTGACTTGTTAACTTTTACATTGTATTTCTTTTTCTATGTGTCATCTCCATAACATACTGGGACCCATATCATATTTCTTTGCACCCTCCACAGCTACTAGAAAACTACCTCTATGTGGCAGGAGATCAATAAATACTTTTAATTAATTAATTGAATTAAGGTAAAAAAAAGAAGAAGAGAGCAAAAAGAGCAGAAGACTAAGGAGTAAGGATGCATAACTTCCTAGAAGTGAAAGAACATCATAAAAATCCTGAAGAATCCCTAGACCAAGTTTTACTATACTGGACCTTATCAAAGAATTGGGTCTGGTAGAACAAATATCACGATATGTTCATTGTACATACAGTCAGTGCAAAGCTCAAACTATACTTAGTGAGCTTGTCCTCCAACAAAGGATGGTGTATTTTGCTTCAGTTACTCAGAGAATTGCCTCAGACTTATTTTCTCAATTACCCTAGACATTTTTAAAGAGTAAGAGTCCAGCTTAGGAAACCATGTTTTGATAGTGGATGTGTATGATTCCAAACCATGTAAAAAAATTGGCTTCTGGCAAGATCATATTTTACAGATATTATTCTGTCAATTGTGACAACATATAGAAAATAATACTTGGACACATGAAATAATGACTTAACAAAATATGACTGAGTCTAAAATAAGTAGCTCAAGAGATCATTTTCATTAAATAGACTCTATTGCCTCTCTTCTAAAACCAAGTAAAAATACAGCATTGGGAATAACATTACTACTTTAAAAATAAGATATACTTTAAGCATATATTTTGCAGAAGCTACATCATTAAAAGCTCTGTAACACAGGGACATTAAAAGCTGTACAGCACTATGTAACAATATGTTTAAAAGCTTCAACTACATTTAAATACATACAATAATAAGTGACATAAAGAGCATTTTAAACAGAAGTAATCAATATTTTGCCCAGACTCATGAACCAGTTTATACACCACTGATTTTATTCTCAATTATTTGTAAATAACTGTACTACATATCTGTTAATGAGTTATATACCTAAAAATACAATATTCTCATTTATTTTCATGAATTTACCCAAGTTTTAGAGAGGGTAGAAATAAAAATATTTAATTAACAGAAAATGTAGTTTCTTTCTCATTCTTTCATAACACAAACCAAGTCTTTGTTATACGATCTATTTAAAAAATAATGATTAAAAATGCTAAAACAGTATTATCCTTATAATTATATTGGTTCTACTTATGAAAGTTGAACGGTTTTTTAATCTTTTTAAGTCTAATTTATAGTTCACGTGTTCTTGCAAATTACTCACTAGTTATTTCCTCATTTCAAAGTTTTTTTCACATTGATTTCTCAGAAGTATTCAAGACAGTAGCTTCTTTGACAATGAAATGTACAAAATAAATGACATGTCAACAAGTAAATTAGCATTCCCTTTCTGACCAGCTGGGTCATGTTTCCTTTTCAAAATCCTCAGTCCCATGATACAAAATAATAATAATCTAAAAGACCTCGTTAAATGATCAATATATTGACATAACCTCTATAAGGAGACACATAGTGTTTTAATTGATTCCTTGAATCCATTAAATGGAATATTAAACCCAAGCATCCAAATTATACTGTAAGAGAACATTTCCTTTATTTATTAACTATTTTCTTCAGGGTATGACTAATGGCATATGAAAAGATTCAAGAACTTTTATACTTAACCACATAGTAAAAGAAGTCCAATTTTCACTACATCTTTTATACTAACAACATCACAATAGAAGTTATAATAGACAAGTTAAACCGTGTTTACTTACCAAAAAACTTCCAAAGGCTGAATTAAATATTGCAGCTGCCTATAGAGAAAATAAATGGGGGGAAAAAAACTCACTGAAAGTAAATAGGAAAAGGAAAAGCAAAATTATCATTCTCCCATCCCCCACTATTCAAAACGTTAAAACATTGACTCTCTAAAGCAAAGTTAGTCACTGCTTACAAAAATTGCCAGTGGCCTCTAGTTTACTAAGATAGATGAGCTGCAACTTAGGAATTCATAAATAATGGGTCTCAAAAGCAAGCAAAAAAGGCTTGCCATGAGATGCTTTGAACCTATATGACAGTACCAAAGAATCATCACCAATAGTAAATTGAAACCTTGTTGTATTGATTTTGTTACTAGACTTAAAACAATCAGAGGTTGATTTATTCATCAAAAAAAAAAATTCATATTATTGGGAAAAGGAAAACCAGAATTGTAAAGCAAACATTAACTACTCTCTACCAGGGACCATAAGTCCTATGAGTTACACCCACAAAGTGAGATCTGTTGTTCCCATACAACACACATTAAACATATGAACAATACTGTTAGACCACGGAAGTTATTCCTATACCATTAATTTTAAAGTAGAAACTAGCAAGAAAAACTTCCATTTGGTGTTCAGAATTCAAAGAAGAAATACTTTACTCTGTGCTTACCTAAATATCCAGGGAATACATAGTAGATGTAATATAGTTCTTAACTTTAAATCAATCACTGTATTCCATGAAGCTACACCTGAATCCTGAAAGCTTCTCACATTACCCAAAAAGGATAAAATCTTGTATATCATCCAATTTGATTAAAAGAAAAGAAAAGAAGAGAGGAAGAAAAAACAATAAAAGGCAAAAGGAGGGGGAGAGAAAATCTATTGACATCTCCTGTAGATCCAGAGCAGAATTAAATTAATCATCATGGACATGAGCAGCCACATTATAGTAAGAAGAGGATGTCAGTCTAGCAAGTTTGAATAAAGTCCAAAGCCACGCTAAGAGCTGTAGCTGAAAATGCCTTCTGCTCCAGAAGAGGATGCAATGAGAGTGCATGGGTAATGAGATCCTTGGCTCCAGAGAGCTTAGCTCTCCTATTCAAGTTCATAATTAATTCAAAGCTTTGATAATTTCATTAGATTTCTCCTTTGCTGGCCCTATCAATAAAAGATGGCACTGGACCACAGCTCCTCTGTGGCATAAACATAGGCACAGGCACAGACCAGGGAAACCTTTGCTTCCTGAGAGGGACAATGGCATATGGTGTTCTGTGTTGTACAGGGAGCAGTGAAGAAAAAGGTTTGGCTAAATAAAACATTACAGATGACGATTGTAAACTACAGCAACATATTTAACACATCTTCCTGGAATTCCACCATGGATGATTCAGGAAAAAGTTTTATGTGTGGAGAAAAATAAATAAAGCTGTATAAATAAATGAGTTGTAGTGAGATCAACAGGGAACACTGCCTTCCTTCTTACAAAAGTGCACCTTCCCCACAAACAATGTTTATTTCTAGACCCTATTTTGTGCTTAAAATGGCTTTATTTCTCTTTTTAGTAAAGGAATGAGGTATTCCCTTTGAGCTCCTCTCTTCCAAATTTGTTTCTTTCCAGTACCTTTCACCAGCCTTATATTGATAACTAACCATTCTGTCTAGCGTTTAAAGAAACATGGATCGTTAGAAGTAAAAAGACTCAGAAGTCAAAGTAAAATAAGTATCAACTACTACTCGTCAGATCAAATCGCCATACTCCCACTCCATCCAGTTCTCTTTTCTAACCCAAACACAAGCAATATATTTCAGGTGGATTGGCCGTGTTCCTGCATTTTATAAAATGACAGTGATGACAGTGACGGGATATCTTAGGTACCCAAAGATGCTGCAGGCCAACTTCTTCTTAGTTGTTTTTCTGACAGTGGTGATGGATTTGAACGCACTCACCTATACTATCACTCGATGCTCCCATGCAGGGAGCTCTGGCAATCGTTTGTGAAACGGCTTATTAAGGTTCTGGGTACTCTGAAGAACCATGTGAAATTGGACAGTGAACCAAGGATCTTGGGCTCAATAGCAACAGATAATGAAGCTAATAGTTGCCTCAATTCTGTAGTTGCAGCATATGAAGGAATTCTGTTTTCCAGAGTTCCAAAGAGTGATGATAAATATTTAGAAAGTATTTAATTGATATACAAAAGACATGCATGACTTGCGACTTAAGGAGGAATTCCCAGCTCCTCAGCATGATGTACAAGGCCCTTCATGAACAGGTGTCTGTCCATCTCAGTTCTTGCCTCAAGTTTTATATTCTGACAACACAAAACTCTTGTGATTCCCCAAACTCATCATGCTGTTTCTTACCTCTTTGCTCCCTGGCCTGGAATGCCCTTCTCCCTTCCTCTACCTAGGTAACTTCCATGTACCTTAGCGACTCGGCTTGGGTTTTGTCCTTCCAAGAAGCTTTCAATCACCTCCTCCAACACACACACATCCACACTTCTAGAGGGACTAAGTGTCCCCACACCTGCTGCCACAACATCTTGAGCATACCTCTGCAATGGCACTTACCACATTATTGAAATGGCCTATCTATATGCCTCCCTGCCCCACTAGAGACTAAAGTCTTCTAGGAAGGCATCTGATGAAGCTCATCCTAAGCACCTACATGTTTGCTAAGTGAATTGCTGAAATTTGTAGGATTCCCAGGAATGTCCAAAGTCTACCTCTTTTACTAAGTTACTCTACATGTTTGGCAGAATCCAAGGACTGGCAGACACAGAAGACTGGACCTGACACCTGGCACCACAGCCAAGCAATAGCAATGACAGACTTAGACTTTGGTCTCCTATCCAATATAAGCATCTCTTTCACAATATCTTGTTTTACTTCCCTTAACTTCCCTATTATGATACAGTCATATAAATATGCTTAACATAAGTAATGTTTTAAAATTTACTACTAATATATAGCAATAGAGTTAGTTAAATAAAACCTGGAATTACCCAGGAATACTCTGCAGCCATTAAAAAGAGGATAATCTAAAAATACTGATATGAAAGCAGGCTAAGATATTTTAAATGAAAAAGTAAGTTTCAAAACAGCATGTATAATTCTTTCAATGTTTTTTTCCACACTGCTAAGCAATTTTCCAACACCAGCTGGGTGTCCTACAATTCAATTCAGTTCTGCGACTATCTACCTGAAACTAGTGTCAGATCCCACAGGTTAAGGGCTCAGTCCCCCAAGACTGCTCACACTTTAGATGTTAATCACAAGTCTGGGTTGTCACCTGTGCTTCTGACCAACTGGCTATAAATGGGAGGTTCCCACAACCCCATCTTCCAATTTGATTAATTGGCTGCGAGGCTCACAGAAGTCAAGAAACCAGTTTACTCACCAGATTACCACTTTATTATAAAAGTATATAACTCAGGAAGAGCCAGACAGAAGAGACGTATAGGGCAAGGTGTGGGGAAAGGGAGTGCAGCTTCCACGCTCTTTCCAGGCACACCACTCTCTCAGCATCTCCACGCGTTCACCGTCCTGGAAGCTCTTAGAACCCATCCTCTTGGGGTTTTATGGAGGCTCCATTACATATGTATGACTGATTACATCACTGGTTATTGGTGATGGAATTCAATCTCCACCCCCCACCCCCACCTCCCAGAGGTCTGAGAGTCTGATTGAAAGTTCCAACCCTCTAATCACTGGTTAGTTCTCCTGACAACAAGCCCCGTCCTTAGGTTGGCTAGGGGCTTTCCAAAAGTCACCTAATTAACAAAACAAAAGACACCTTTTAGAGCTCTCATGACTTAGGAAATTCCAAGAGTTTTAAGAGCTGTGTGCCAGGAACTGGGACAAAGACCAAATATGTATTTCTTACTATAAATCACAATATCACATTCCTATTGTGTAAATATGTACACACTTACATACCTTTATACTGATAGGTATAAAAAATACTATTTTTTCTGAAAGAAATCACAAAAAAACTCCTAACGATGGTTATATTTGTTGAAAGGGATTGGGTAAGGGGTTGTTTTTATTTTTCATTTTGTTCTGTCTGTCCTGTTTGGCTTTTTGTTTTTAACATGTTATTTTTCTATATTTCAACAAGAATTATTTGGGCAAGGAGATGTTGAGCCATTTATTGTTTTCATTTTTAATCTCTTTGTGTTAAAAATGTAATAAATGTTTTATTTTAAAATAAAATTAAGATTTCAATCTCTACTTTGCACATTAGGGATATCTTTTACCGGTTGCTTAAGCTGGATGGTGAGCACCCTCTGGAGCACACATCATTGTGCTGGGGGTATAAGAAGCCACAGGATGAACAGAGGGCATCTTCTAGGAGTATCTGTAGCATGAGAAAATTTGATTTTGAAAATAAACCAAAAATCTACTATTATTTTCGTATTAAAAAAAACATGGCTATCGAAATACAAACTTCATGTACTGAGATCAAACACGAGCCACCAGAGACAATTTGTTCTGAAGGTAAGACCCTTCAGATGATACAACTAGGATCTTAGGATATGAGTTTCCTCTCCTCTGCCTTCTAGAAGCCATACCTGAGACAGTCCACTGATTTTTAAATATAGCATTTCATTTGTTATTCCCTTTTGTTAGAAACAATTTAATTACCTGTCTCCCCTCTAGAATGCTACATTACAACAAAAATTATGTCTAATTTGTACAAGATTGTATCCTCAGTGCCTAGAACAGCACCCCGCTTGTAGTAGACCCTCAACAAATATTATTGAATCAAAGAATGAATGAATGAATACTTCTTGTACTAACTGAATGTCCTGTACAGTAATGTTTTCATTATTAACTCATGAATCCCATCTGCAAAGTCTATACCTTGGTGTAATCACATTTGATGGATAATTAGATCAATGCTAATGGAAAAAAGTTTATATTGAGGTGGTTTTTTAATACTGAGTAGATTGGCTTCCTTTATATTACACATTTTTAGATAATATATTGCTTTCAGTGTCAACCCAATTTTACCCAATACATAGTATTTTACTAATGTTTCATTA